AACTTCTTTACAGTCACCATTAAGAAAGTAAAATTTAAGAAGACATATATGCAGCCAACAAGCATATTTAAAAATGTTCAACATAACTACAGAAATGAAAATCAAAACCACAAGATATCACCTCACCCCAGTCAGAATGGCTATTACTAAGAAGTCAAAAAATAAACACTGGCAAGTGGAGAAAAAAGAACACCTATACACTGCTGGTGGAAATATAAGTTAGTTTAGACATTATTCAAAGCAGTGTGGTGATTCATAAAAGAACTTAAAACAGAACTACCATTCAACCCAGCAATCCCGTTATTGGGTATATACCCAAAGAAATATAAATTATTCTACCATAAACGCATGCACACGCATGTTCACTGCAGCACTACTCACAATAGAAAAGACATGAAATCAAACTAAATGCCCATCAATAGTAGACTAGATAAATAAAACGTGGAACATATATATCATGGAATACTATACAGCCATAAAACAGAATGAGATCATGTCCTCTGCAGCAACATGGAAGGAGCTGGAGGCCATTATCTTAAGCAAAGTAATGCAGGAACCGAAAATCAAATACCGCATGTTCTCACTTATAAGTGGGAGGTAAATGATGAGAACACTTGGACACACAAGAGGGAACGACAGACACAGGGGCCTACTTGAGAGTGGACAGTGGGAGGAGGGAGAAGATCAGGAAAAATAACTAATGGACATTAGGCTTATTACCTGGGTGACAAAATAATCTGTACAACAAACCCTCATGACATGCAATTCACCTATATAACAAACCTATGCACCCTGAACCTGAAATTTTTAAAAAAGATTGAGAAAAAATAATTACTACACTTTTGATAGGTGTTCAGAAGGGCTTCTAAAAACATGGTAAAAAAATGAATTAATGAGAAAATAGGCAAAAGTATTTTCTAAGCAATTTACTGATAAGAAAATACAAATACAGCCAATATACATTTGAAAAAGTGCTTATCATGTTTACAATGCAGGAAACTGCAAAATAAAATGGGGGCATCTTTGCCACATATCCTCCATCAGATGAGCAAAAGTATTTAGTATTAATCATTCTTGGAATTGCATGTGTGCAGAAGAGCAAAAATTGCTACGATTTCTTCTCAAATACTGTGGCAACAATATATTAACAGTTTACAATGAAGTGTGTGACACTGTGAAATGGGTATTTGGTCTCTGTGGCATACAATTTCAAATGCCCTTAGAAATTCCACCGTGCTGCACCCATTAACTTGTCATTTACATTAGGTATATCTCTTACTGCTATCCCTCCCCTCTTCCCCCTCCCCACAATAGGTCTCCGTGTGTGATGTTCCCCTTCCTGTGTCCTAGTGATCTCTATTGTTCAATTCCCACCTATAAGCGAGAACATGCAGTGTTTGGTTTTCTGTTCTTGCGACAGTTTGCTGAGAATGATGGTTTCTAGCTGCGTCCATGTCCCTACAAAGGACACGAACTCATCCTTTTTTATGGCTGCATAGTATTCCATGGTGTATATGTGACACATTTTCTTAATCCAGTCTGTCACTGATGGACATCTGGGTTGATTCCAAGTCTTCACTATTGTGAATAGTGCCGCAATAAACATACGTGTGCATGTGTCTTTATAGCAGCATGATTTATAATCCCTTGCGTATATACCCAGTAATGGGATGGCTGGGTCAAATGGTATTTCTAGTTCTAGATCCTTGCCCAACATGGCACATGTATACATATGTAACAAACTGCACATTGTGCACATGTACCCTAGAACTTAAAGTATAATTAAAAAAAAAAAAAAAAAGAAAAGAACCGTGATGTCTTTTTCTATGCTAATGAGTTGACCAGTAGCTGGCAGCCGGTAGGTAACTTCAGGATGGGGCTGTTTACTGGAAAGACCAAGGCAGGATTAGAGGATTAGACTTATAGTACCCCCCGCCCTCAACCTCCAGTGAGGGGAGAGGAGCTAAGGGTGAAGTTGATCACCACTGGCCAATGGTTTTAATCACTGGTGCCTACCTAATGAAACTTTCATAAAAACCTAAGAGAACCAGGTTCAGAGAACTTCTGGGAAGGAGGCATGCCCAGAGAGGGCATGGAAGCTCCATGCCCCTTCCCCCGTACCTTGCCCCATGCATCTCTTCATCTGTATCCTTTTGTAAAATCCTTTATAATAAACCAGTAAACATAAGTGTTTCCCTGAGTTCTGTGAGCTGCTCTAGCAAATTAATCAAACCCAAAGAGTGGGTTGTGGGAACCCCAACTTGCAGCTGGTTGGTCACAAGTTCTGGAAGCCTAAACTTGCAACTGGTGGGAGGGAGGAGCAGTCTCTTGTGGGACCGAATCCTCAACCTGTGGGATCTGACACTACCTCCAGGTAAACAGTGTCAGAACTGAACTGAAGGGCACCCAGCAAAACTGTCACAAAACTGATTGCTTACTTGGTGTTTGAGGAGAAACCCACACGTTTGACCACAGAAGTCTTCTGCCTGTGATTATTGTTGCTGAGTGTCAGAATACAGAAAGCACTTAGAGTCTGAGTGGTTTTTTCCCCACACAAAGTATATGGGCCAGCAATATTTAGACGTCTACATCATAGAATTTACAGATTAAAGCACAGGATGCGAAAATCACATGTGTTTGTACTGTCTGTAGCGCTAAAACTGGTAGTAATCAGAACTGAATATCTTATAGTAGTAAAATACGTACTACACGGAAAACATACATGTTTCCATTTCCTTTTCTGTGAGATGGAGTCTCACTCTGTCGCCCAGGCTCGAGTGCCCTGGCATGATCTCAGCTCACTGCAGCCTCCGCCTCCCAGGTTCAAGTGATTCTTCTGCCTTAGCCTCCCGAGTACCTGGGATTACAGGCATGCACCATCATGCTCGGCTAATTTTTTTATTTTTGGTAGAAACGGGGTTTCAGCATGTTGGCCAGAATGGTCTTGAACTTCTGGCCTCAGGTGATCCGCCCACCTAGGCCTTCCAAAGTGCTGGGATTAGAGGCGTAAGCCACCGTGCCCGGCTCCATTTCCTTTTTAAAGAGGGTAACATATATTTTCACACAACAAAGATATTGATGGATGGACACCTCTTTGTTAATGCTGGGCACATTAGCGACGACAGAATTTCAATTAGGGGAAACCTAATTTATTTCATTATAGACTTTGGTATGGTCTGTCTTCTACTTAATCTTTATTTTAAAAGTTATAATGAAATATATAATATTTATATATTATATAAATATTATGAGTGAGCTAATTTTTTTAGTATTTTTGTAGAGATGAGATTTCACCATGTTGCCCAGGCTGGTCTCGAATTCCCGAGCTCAAGTGATCCGCATGCCTCAGCCTCTCAAAGTGCTAAGATTACGAGCCACTTCACCTGGCCCACAACATTCTTAAACTTGGAAAATGCAGAGGATACTGCAGGCAAGTCTTTAGCATGGGGGAACAAAAGACTGCATCCAAAGTTTTTGTAGATGAAATTGAGGCAATCAACAAATAAATTCAAGTAAGAAAGTCATGGTAAAAGGAGAGGTGGTGAGCAATTACTTAAATACACAGAAGTGAGTCTCAACTGGGGGAACTGACGGTTATGAATCAGAGGTAACAATGACAATAACAATATAATAACAATCAGAAGATGGTGGGAAGTAAAAACGGGCTAATTGCTTCAACTTTCACAGCAGGAAGTAATCAATAATATTTAAAATTAAGGTACACAGTAAAAGACGTGAATCAAATCTTCAAAACTCTTTCACAATCTCTTTTCATAAAAGGAAGGTTTAGAAAATAATGTTTTATGTGTTGAAAAAACAATCTTAAAATTCTGCAATGGCTATGATTTTTTTCAATTTAAAAGAAAATTAAGAAATATGTATATACTAAAGGATAGCCTATTTCCATATCCTTATTTTTTCATTTACTTTATCTCACTTGATGGCAGCTTAGAATCCAGACAAAAGAATGAATGAAACCACAATTCACTAATAGATGAACACAGAATCCTTCTCACTATGTGTTTGTATGTATACATACAGATACGTGTGTGTATATATGTATATGTGTATACATGTGTGTATATATGTGTATATGTGTATATATATGTATACATGTGTATATATACGTGTTTACATGTATGTGTGTGTATATATATTTGGCTGTTACGCACAAGGCTGCAATTATCATTCTTTGCACATTTGTTCTGATTTAGAAAAAATTCTTAAAGTGGGAAATGCTCAACCAGAATAAGGAGAACTTCTAGAAAGGCTGAAATACTCCTGCAGCTGTGTGGATGTACCCACTTCTCCATATCTCAGCTAACAGTGAATGCTGACCTTTCAAATCTTTGGCTGTCTGCTAGAAGAATCATAAATCTTATTCCAAAGTGAATCCTTTTGATTAATAAAGGCTCATTATCTTTTCATATGATTAGTGGGCATTAGTTTTTCTCTGCTCCCTTCCTGAACAAGAATCCTCAGGTCTTTATGCATAGCCCTCTTCTGAAAATAAGGATATTAAAATTTTTTCACAGATGAAACTTTTCTCCCCTAATATGTTGTTTTTAAACTTTGTGCATGGTATACTTTTTGGTAGGGTCTACTACATGGAGAATATTACATCTATAAATCAATACATGTTCCACAGAAGAGAACAACCCAGGCAGAAATGATTCAGTATTTGGAGAGTCATCTCTCTGCTCATCTAGGCTTGGGCCTCTGCATGAAGCTACTGTGGTGGCAGAAAGGCAGACCAGAAAGGTAGATTATCGAATCCAATTGGCCTGAGTTCAAATCCTGAATCCCCCATTCATTTCTTCATCTCTAAAACAGAATCATACTATCTGTCTCACATCACTATTCTGTGGATAAATGCAATGAGAAATGTAATGTATTCACCCAATACATTTTTCACTCTTTTTCCTTTTACCAAGAAGGGATGTATGTTTTCTCTCTGATGCCTAAGGTGGTATTTCGGGAGAGAAAAGAAAACAACCCACCTGAAACATGGTCTTGTCCTCCCTATCTTGGGAAAGGGCTGAGGCTTGAGAATGAAGAGCTGTAGGAGGAGAAAGAGGCCATGAGGAGGAGTTGGTGCTGCCCGGAGCTCTAGGTCATCTATCTGGTAGGAAAGTGCCCAGCTTTACAGACTGGTTTCTTCTCACTTGAGGAAATTCCTCAACACCCAACTCTTTCTCCTCCACATTAAGTTCGGATTCTCCCTCTGCCCACCCACTCTATTAACTGTCACCTCTTTTCTCATGCCTTGAGGTCAAAGTCTCCATGGTCTCTTCTGCTAGGATTTCTGAGAGCAGCAGCAATCGTGTTTATTCTCTGGTCTTCCTAAGCTGGAGACACAGAAGATCCAGGCCTTCTTCATTCTAGAGACTCTCCAAGCTCCGACAAGTCGCTGTCTTCACCTTTACTGTCCAGAGCGTGATTGCTTCCCATGGTCGGGGGACCTATAGGTTCAGGAGGGAACTTTACTTAGTACTTTCTTCTGGGCCCCAAGGCTGTGGTTCGTATCCTCTGGATACTATTCATTCAGTAGTTTATCGGACACCTACTCAGTACTAGTCAGGTTTAGTCCCCTACACTGAAGGGGCTCATAGTCCAGAAAGCCAAGAATGTTGCAGATGGGTAAGGACAGTCACAGAAGAGTCTGTGAGAAGGGCCCTGCAGCTAAATTCTCAGTGAGGCACACGGCTCCTCAGAAGGGCAGGGAGACTCCACAAACATATGGGACCTGTGCCCTGTGAAGTAACACCTGGAGAGAAAAAGCTTTATTAATGCAATAATGTTGGACTTGCAAAAAATAAAATAAACTAAATCCCCATACTTAGGGATTATAGAAATCAGGATAAAGATTAGAGCCATCTCCTGGCTAACACGGTGAAACCCCGTCTCTACTGAAAACACAAAAAATTAGCCGGGCGTGGTGGCGGGCACCTGTAGTCCCAGCTACTCGGGAGGCTGAGGCAGAATGGCGTGAACCCGGAAGGCAGAGCTTGCAGTGAGTTGAGATCGCACCACTGCACTCCAGACTGGGCAACACAGCGAGACTCCGTCTCAACAACAACAAAAAAAAAGATTAGAGCCATCTTTAAGTCAGCGTTTTTAACTTTTTTTGTGCCATGACCCCCCTTCACTAATCTGATGATACCTAAAGACCTCTACTCAGAATAAAGTTTTAAATGCATAGAAAGAAATGCAAAGAATTATACTGAAATACAAACTTCAAAACTATTAAAACTCTGCATGGCTCACTGTGCAAGTACAGTGTTACTTTATTAACACATTCAATATAAACAACAAATTTACTACAATTTCAAAAGAGTAATGAGCATAAACAATACTCTGAAATATCTGTGCAAACCAGAATATGACATAAAAATATCTATGATGTATATGGATGACAAAGTCACAACTACTGCTAATATTGTGGCTTAGCACCTATGTTCACAGTGAAACGCTACTTGTGACTTAGACTAGTATAAAATTTTTTCCCACTCAAATTCATGGAACTCCTGAGTTATGCTCACGGAACCCAGGGCAAGAATTCCTTTTTGAAATTACGTCTCTTCTGCCCCGTCGCTCCCCAGACTGAATTAATTACTCTCGGATCCAGCAACACATGGTGTAAATTGCTGGTTACCACCTTTCACACTGCCTCCATGGTCAGATCTCTAAGTCATCAAAATAATTGAGACTTCTTTTTCTTTATTTACCTTTCATGGCTCTAGCACATGGGAAGCACTTAAGCAATTCTATCAGCAGGAAGCAATGCACAGAGATTGAACAAAACTCTTGCAATCTGCTCAGAGCTACTCAGGAGGTAGTGCAAAGACAGCAGGCATAAGTTCCCACCCTTCCCCACCTTGCCTGAACTCTTTCCTCTTGAAATTCAAGTCTCAATGAGGTCAAGTTCAGACAAACAGATACACATACTTGGGCTGTCTACTGTAGGACACTCACTGAATTTTACTGCTTCAGGAACTCAAATCTCCTTCTTTCCTCTAACCATCTGTACCAGCCCTCTGCATGGCCCACAGTGACAAGCATCTTTCTCTCTCCCTCCCTTCATGCACTGCCCTGAACTTGGGATGGCCCTTTGACCCAGGTGTGGACAACCAGGCAACACGTTACCCTCCTACATAAAGGACAAAGGGGAAGAGTAGAGGCCAGATCTGAAACAAGGCCTCCACCCCAATGCCACTTAAACCCAAACTTCAGGATCCTCTAGGACTGCACTTTGCAGACTTCAGTATGTTTAAAAATCACCAGGAGCAATGATGAAAACAGACTGCTAGATTCCAACTCCAAAGATTCTGATTCTGTATCTCTGCAGTAGAGCCCAGGAGTCTGTGTTTTAAACAAGTTTCCAGGGGATGCTGACAAAGTGGGTCCAGGGGCCACATTTGAAGCAAACCTGCTAAGTTACCCTCGCTTCCTCTGACTGGCTGATTTTCAGGGTTTCCAGAAACTTCCAGTGGGTACAAATTTTCCTTGTGCTTCCTCCTCCTGTCCCTGAACTCTTCTGGTCAGGAAGCCTCAAGAGTCAGCACATGAAGTTCTCTATCCTCCTTCACTCCCTTGGTGAAGACATCCAGCCTCAGGCCTTCAGTAGAATCTACACACTGATGACTCCATGGCAACCTGGCAACTCCACTCTTATGTCTAAAAAGCAACTTAAAAAACATGTCCAAAAGCAAACTCTAGATTTGCCCCAGAGGTACTTCTCTCCTTTGAAATGAAGAGGAAATATTCTAGAGTCATTCTTGATTTCTTCCTTGTACTCTACATCCAATCCATCAGCAAATACGTACAAATCAGAACCAGAATCAGATCAAATATTCTTGCTGCCACCATCCACACCACCATCATGTCTCACCTGAATTAATGTGACAGCTCCCTAAATCGCCACTGTGTTCCTACTCCTGTTCACTTCAGTCTACTTCCTACATGGCAGCTGGAGTGATCTTTTATATAAACTCATATTCTTCTCTGGCCAAAACCACCACTTTGCTCAAAACCTTGCACCAAGGTCCTTTCAATGGCCCAAAGACCTTACACTATCTTCCTTCCCAATATTCAGTTTCTCAATTATCCCTCCCTCCTTCTCATTCTGCTCAGCTGAGCAGAATGAGAAAACTGCTTTTCCTCAGACGCCTGCAGGCCCCTCACCTGCTTTGGGTCCCTATTCAAGCACCATTTTCTCAGTGAAATTCATCCCTCATTATCCTTCTCAAATTGGCAAACCAGCACTTCCTACACCCTCCTCTGCTTCATTTTTCTCCATGAAACTGACACCTTACCTACAGTCTATTTTTCTTGTTGACCATCTTTCTCCACCCACAAGAATGTGAACTCTATGAGGGCTAGGATTTCAGTTGGCACCTGGCACACAGCAGGTACTCAACAAATATTTAAATAGGAGAATGGAAGTAATCTGAACTCAGCTTGCTGATATGGATCCTTGGGTCCTCTTGATGTCATCTTCAGAGCAGAAGTGATTTTGTTCTCCAGTTCATGGACTGTAATTTGGGTGCTAAGGACTATGCTGGCTGTGTTGGGATCCAAGAGTGAACAGGGAAGACAAGGACTCTGTGATCATGCAGCTGCTAACAATCTAGGTGGAAATCAGCCGCCATAATGAACTTCTACTGTGTTCCAGGTGCTTAGGATACAGTAAAAGATACATTTCTGGACTGCATGGAGCTCACACTGGGAGAAAAGGAGGGTGACAGAAAGAGTTCATACAAAGGCAGTGGGATAATGAAGTAGTGGGAATAAGAGATATTGCAGAGGTAGAAATAACAAAACTAAAAGAATAATTCCACATAGGGATGAAGAGGAGGAGAAATAAATATGATTCTGAGGTTGAAGTCTGAGGAAAAAACAGGTAAATGATGAAGTTATGATAAGATAGCAAAAGGAAGAGTCGGGTTTTGAAAATTGCAGTTCTAGTTTCTCAAAACTAGAGTTGTCAAAAGGTTTAGGTTCGAATTCTGGTTCAGCCACTTTGTAGTTACATTAACACCACAGGAATGACTTAACCTTTTGAATGAGTCTGTACTTGTCAAACAAAGATAATCCTTACTTGCAAAACTAGTAGACTCTTTCACACACACGCCTATGTGAATAAACTTCATAACCCAGTACCTGGTACACAGAAAATCATCAATAAACTATTACCACTGACCCAACCCAGTATTAACCTAGGAATACAGGAACTCATGCATTTAGTAAATGTACATTCAGAGTCTAACACAACATCTTAGAAGAATAAACACTAGACATACATGTCAGGCCTCTGAGCCCAAGCCAAGCCATCGCATCCCCTGTGATTTGCACGTATACGCCCAGATGGCCTGAAGTAACTGAAGAATCACAAAAGAAGTGCAAATACCCTGCCTCACCTTAAGCGATGGCATTCTAACACAAAAGAAGTGAAAATGGCCGGTCCTTGCCTTAAGCGATGATATTATCTTGTAAAATTCCTTTTCCTGGCTCATCCTGGCTCAAAAAGCTCCCCCACTGAGCACCTTGTGACCCCCCACTCCTGCCCGCCAAAGAACCCCCCTTTGACTGTAATTTTCCTTTACCCATCCAAATCCTATAAAATGACCCCAACCTTATCTCCCTTCGCTCTCTTTTCGGACTCAGCCCGCCTGCACCCAGGCGAAATAAACAGCCATGGTGCTCACACAAAGCCTGTTTGGTGGTCTCTCCACAGGAGGCGCATGACAATACAGCAGTAAATTAAGATGGAAAAAGTAATTGTTCCCATGGTGCCTACATTCGGGTGGGTTAATCTCTCTATAAATTAGGTGACTTTTGATTGCAAAAAAGGCTATGAAGAAAGTAAAGCAAACATGATAGATTCCTGTTTTCCAACAAATGTAGGTTCTATCAGGTGAAACATACGTGGTAACTGTGGAAACAGCAACATTAAATCAAGTGATCAGGGACAGTCTCTAAGAGCTGCTTGAAAAATAAATCAGCTGTGAAAAAAGCTGGGATGAGACAACCCCAGAAGGAAGCATAAGTGTAAAGACCCTGGTTCTGGTTAGAAGGTCTCCTGGCCAGGTCTTACTTTTTAAGTTTTTTAAACTTTTTAAACCTCAGCAACTCATCTGTGACATGGGGATAATAGCTGACATACAAACTTGCTTAGAAAATTCAATAGAAATACATTCATTTATTTAAGTATTTACTAGCAAGCCTGGCACTGTCCTAGACACTATGGATAGAGCGTAATACCTGGCATACAGTAAGCACTCAGTTCATATACACCATCACAGTTACTCCAATTATTTCTACCCCGCGTTTCTTCCCTAGCACAGCGCTGAAACGGCGTAAGCCTTTACTGACTCAGCGGCCCACTACTAGGAGCCAAGATAATACACTAAATAAAGACCCTGGGAAATTCCTCAACCCTTCCCCATTTCTAAGGGAAGGCAGCGGCGGCTAAGGGGCCTGGATGAACATTTGTGAAATCAATGGGATGAAGAATGAGGTCACCAAGAGACCGGGCATTGCCACAAAAGAGAAACCAAAGTTCCCTCACCTGGAGCTCTAGTGTCAAGAGATGTGGGGTTATTTCTCCCTCTTTTATACAATTCTCTCCGAGAAAGGAACAATCCCAAGAAGGAAGCCTGTGAAAGAAAAATGAGCACCGGGCTAACATGATTTAATCCCAATTCCCACTTCCAAACAAATGTAGGTTCCCATCAGGTGAAACATACGTGGTAACTGTGGAAACAGCAACATTAAATCAAGTGATCAGGGATAGGTCTCTAAGAGCTGCTTGAAAAATAAATCAGCTGTGAAAAAGCTTAGATGAGACAACCCCAGAAGGAAGTAAGTGTAAAGACCCTGGTTCTGTTAGAAGGTCTCCACAGGTCTTACTTTTAAGTTTTTTAACCCTTTTAAACCTCAGCAACTCATCTGTGACATGGGATAATAGCTGACATACAAACTTGCTTAGAAAATCAATAGAAATACATTCATTTATTATTTAAGTATTTACTAGCAAGCTCAAAATGTCCTAGACACTTGATAGAGCGTAATACCTGGCATACAGTAAGCACTCAGTTCATATACACCATCACAGTTACTCCAATTATTTCTACCCCATAGCTTCTCCCCTAAAGCACAAAGCGCCTTTTCGAAAACGGCGTAGTTTCCTTACTGGACTCAGCTGCCCACTACTAGGAGCCAAGATAATACACTAAATAAAGACCTGGGAAATTCTCAACCCTTCCCCATTTCTAAGGGAATGGCAGCGGCGTGGTTAAGGGGCCTGATGAACATTTGTAAATCACTGGGATGAAGAAATGAGGTCACTAAGAGTATCGGCACACACAAAAGAGAAACCAAAGCCTCACCTGAGCTCTACCAGTGTCAAGAGATGTGGGTTATTTCTCCCTTTTTTATGTACACTCTCTCTCCGAGAAAGGAACAATCCCAAGAAGGAAGCTCAGAAAGAAAAATGAGCACCGGGCTAACATGGATTTAATCCCAATTCCCACGGATGCCACAGGGGGAATTCCTCAGTGCCAGCTGAATGTAATCTATCCGCTACTTGCTTGAGAGTCGAGGAAAGAAATCTCTTTTCCAATGAGCACCGGGCTAACATGATTTAATCCCAATTCCCACTATGCCACAGGGGGAAATCTCTCAGTGCCAGCTGAATGTAATCTACCCCGCTACTTGCTTGAGTCGTCGAGGAAAAGAACCTCTTTTCCTACAGGACTCAGAGTTAAAGGTCCACGCCATTCCAAAGCAGCCGTCTACAAGCCTACTCTCACTGCCCCTTTCAGGAGACAAAGAGAATCAAGACAAAACCTCAAGATTTGAATTCAGAGCTGTCTGACACCGATAGTGAAATTCTGCCTGTGCGTGCTTAGGCGGCTACGAAAAGCAGAGCCAGCAACGATACAGCAAACCAACTCTTAGGACTTGCACAGCGCTTAATACATTTCTTTTTTTTTTTTTTTTTTTTTTTTTTTTTCTGGTTCATCCCAGTTCCACTATGCCACAGGGAGTCTCAGGTCACCAGCTAGATAAATCTCTCCCGCTACTTGCTTGAGGAGTCGAGAAAAGAACCTCTTTTCAATGAGCACCAAGGCTAACATGATTTAATCCCAATTCCCACACTATGCCACAGGAAATCTCGAAAGTGCCAGCTGAATGTAATCTACCCGCTACTTGCCAGTCGTCGAGAAAAAAGAACATATTTTCCTACAGGACTCAGAGTTAAGGTCCACGCCATTCCCAAACCCAGCCGTCTACAAGCCTACTCTCACTGCCCTTTCTAGGAGACAAGAGAATCAAGACAAAACCTCAAGATTTGAATTCAGAGCTGTATTCGATGATAAATTCTGCCTGTGCGTGTGGTGACTCACAGCAAGACCAGCAACGATACAGCAAACCAACTCACCAGGACACACAGTAGCAATACATTTCTTTTTTTTTTTTTTTGAGGCCAGTCTTGCTCTGTGCCCCAGGCTGGAGTGCAGTGGCGCGATCTCGCTCTCACTGCGGCTCCGCCTCCCGGGTTGCCATTCTCCTGCCTCCGCCTCCCGAGTAGCTGGGACCACAGGCGCCTGCCACACCGCCCGGCTAATTTTCTTGTATTTTTATGAGACGGGGTTTCACTGTATTAGCCAGGATGGTCTCGATCTCCTGACCTCGTGATCCTTGTCTGGCCTCCCAAAGTGCTGGATTACAGGCTTGAGGCCGCGCCCAGCCAGCAATACAACTGAGATAAAACCAGAACACAGAATCAACTTTCTGTTTACAGAAATGACTTATGAAAACTCTGGTATACAGTGGTGGGCTACCATAGAAATTTATGTCATCGATCCGCCACTGCCCGCAGTGGACGCTCTCGCACTGCAGATCTCATCTCCAAGCCTGGCTGACCAGCTGCTTTTCCAAGCCTGGACTGCGAGGCTGCCGACTCAAACCCACCCGCCCAGGCGCTCAAAGTTCGATACATGCGCCTCCTCACACCCCTGCCCCTCACCGGGGCCGGAGCTCATGAAATTCGTGGGCTTGAACCTCTGCCGCCACGTTGTCCCTTCCACGTTGGTCTATAGAGCTAATCCTGAAATCCCCTGGCCGGACAGTACACCACATGGCGCGCACGTCTCAGCACGCCTCACCACTGACTAGAAGCAGCAAGACAGCCCGCCCAACGAGAGCGAAACTAGTGGAAGCTCGAGCGTGTGGGACTGCCTCCCAGAACCCTCCGCCGCGCAGTCCGCTCCTAGTGCCGATAGGCTGACGCCGTGCACGTCCACCTCGAGTCCCGCCCACTGCCAGGCGGCAGGAGGTGGCATGCAGGATGTTCCCTGAGTTGAAGTTGGTATACATAGAGAGCCTTTTTGAAATGTTTATTCAAAAGTAGTTCACATTATATAAAGAATGGTAAAATAATAATAATAATAATAATAAATTCTTACTTAATCCTGGTTTATGTGAGTAAATATGATTTCTTAAAAATCCCATTCTCCCAAATGTATCATAATGTTACGTAATCATTTCTTGCCCTAGGTCATATATCATGGATAGTTCTCTGTCACTACAGACGTAGAGATACGTAGAGATAATAATAAAAATGTTGCAATGCTTGCCTAGAGTTAACTTTGGCTTAGGGAAGTTACCATGTCTCAGTGAGCAAACTAATTTAGCATAACAAAACTGAACACAATCCGCTTTCTTTAATATTTTCCCAGTTTGGTGGACAAAATATCCTGTCTCATTTTCCCAATTTGACAGACTAAATATGCTGTCTTACTTACTACTTGCATTTCATTGTCATCTTTAAGTACTCTGTGAATTAATGATACTCGCTTCTGTTATAGATGAACTGCTCCTCCAGTTTCAACATTATAAAATGAGTTAGGAAAAAAAAAACCTTCATCTATTAAGGTATATCAGTCTTTTCATTTGTGGCTTTTTTTTCCTCTAATGTGGTTAAAAGACATTTCATAGCCTGATTCCCAGCAATTTATCTCTATATTCATTCAGATGCTTTCATTGTTCTTTTGAATCACCGTGTGATTCATTTAAGTGTATGATATGAAAGAAGATGGAGTTTCCTGTTCCGCAAAGGATTGCCTACTTTTCTTAACAAAATTTACATAAAAAGCATTATTTCCTTTCTGGTTAAATGGCATCCTAATCACTTACATTGCTATATATAAAATGAAATATTTTCTGGGATAGAGAGTGTGTTCAGAATGGGAATGTCTTTTCTGTGCCGTATTGAAAGTTTCAGTTACAGTGAGAACTCATTTCCTTATCTCTCCCCTCCTTGTGTTTTAAAAATTTCATCCTGCAAGTTCTAGAACTCTCCTTATAAACAGAGTATCGAATTGTTTTGATAAATTCTAAAAAATTGTCAATGACTCCAAAGCATCCAAGCCCGTCAGGCATTTGGTTCCAAACCACCCCTCTTTGTAGGTAGGCCCACAGTCCCAGTTCTCAGTCCGGGGTCCTCCAGTTTTACAAATGTCTGAATTGCTACTATTATTCTTCCTTCTAGCAAGTCCATCCTTTCCTGTGCTATTGAAATCTTACTCAGTATTTAAGACACAACTTGAATATCATTTCCTCTATTGAGTGTTTTTGAACTCTGTAATTCATGACAGATCAGTCTGTGATTGGGAGAATTTGGTGGATGTTAAATATCACTTTCGGAACTCTCATTTTCTAGAAATCAATAAATTATATTACTGCAGGATCCAGCAACACATGGTTTTAAATCGCTGGTTACCCGTTCACACGTCCTCCATGGTCAGATCTCTAAGTCATCAAAATAATTGAGTCTTCTTTTTCTTTATTTTCTTCATTTACTTTTCATGGCTCTGGCACATGGAAACTTTCATAATTCTATCAAGTGTCTTGGCCGGGCCACGGTGGCTCACGCCTGTAATCCCAGCACTTTGGGGGCTGAGGCAGAGCAGATCCCACGAGGTCAGGAGACTGAGACCATCCTGGCTAACACGGTGAAATCCCTTCTCTACTTAAAAAAAAAAAAAAGAACAAAATAGCCAGGTGTGGTGGCAGGTGCCTGTAGTCACAGCTAGTCAGGGAGAAGGCTGAGGCAGGAGAATGGCGTGAACCTGAGGCAGAGCTTGCAGTGAGCCGAAGATTGAACCCATGCCTCCAGCTTGGACGACAGAGCAAGACTCGTCTCAAAAATAATAATAAAATAAAAAAATAATAAATATTTTTAAAAGTGTCTGACCTGGAAGCTGAAACCAACCTGGACAAGGTGTGGGTAGATGAATCTTCGGAGCCCAAGATGAACATTCAGCCTCATCCCTACCTCCATACAAGCTGCAAAAGGTGCCCAGAAACCGTGTGTCAGCTGAATTTGAAACTGCTGTAATTTCCTCCTAACAGTTTTGTTATTGTTGAGAAAAAATAGCAAATTTTAAGTAGGCAAGAGTTTCAGTAGAACATATCTTAAATGAGAAATAAACAAATAAGCAAGAGACACGCCAGAAATGACTCCTCACATCCTCGATCATTAGAAATGGAAGTCAAAACAATGGTGCTCACTTCCTCACTAGAATGGCAAGGATTGAAAAGCAGAAAATAGAGCTGGGTGCAGTGGCTCACGCCTGTATCCCAGAACTTTGGGAGAGACCGAGTGAATTAAGATCCGCAGAATTAGTTTTGAAGACCAGTGTGTTAACATGAGTAAACCATTTCTCTAAATGTAAAAAATTGAACAGAAGTGTGCTTTGTGCATGCAGCGTAATCCGACTGTTTGGGAGTTTGCAGTGACCAGGATCATCATTTTAGCGGTAACTCAAGAGAGAAATTCTATCTGAAAAAACAAAAATAAAAACAAAAAAACATCATAAATACTGGTAAATTATACTTAAAAAAGCTATAACATTCCTGCCACCTGCAAATGAGAATTTCAAAATCTACAGCCATATTGGAAAATAATCAGAAGTTCCTAAACATATTAAACAATAGAAGTTTCAAACCAAACCACAAATTCCACACACAGTGTACAAGAGAAAACGTTTGTCCAAACTGAATATTGAGGAAGGAAGATCACTTGAATCCAGCAGATTTAGACCAGCCTGGATGACATGGTGAAACCTAACTCCTAAAATAAAATTAAAAAAAAAAATAGCCAGTTGTGATGGCTTGCCTGTGTTCCCAGCTATGTCGGAGGCTTACATCAACGGTGTCACATGGAGTGGGAGGGTCATGCTATTATGTCACCAGTATTATCGCCCAAAGGGGCCTTTGACATGCTGGAGAAGTCGGTGTCAGTATGGGCGCAGCCACTTCATGTCAACAAGCAGGAGGGTCCACGCTGCACAGCTGTGGGCGAGATGATGAGTCTGGAGTGGTGATATCGGCTGTTAGAGAACCCTCTTATGCTGGCAAGAGTGTGACAGTGGCAAGTAGATGGACAGGCCTGTGTGTGGGGACGGAATGCAGGAGAGAGGCTCTTCTGCGGCTGGGTGTGGGAGCCCTCACAGAAATGTGGGCTGGCCAATTAACTGCGTCATGTTGGCTAGTAGATTAGCGGGGCTTTGAACTGAAGGACAATAACAGGGAGTAAGCTATCAGGCCCTGGAAGTGTACAGTGTAAATGGAGATGGGTTCAGGGTCACTGGGAGGGGATGCGTAGAGCCATCCTGTATAAACACAGGTCATAGGGGAAATAATCTGATGAGGCCTGCGAGTTTCTAGGGTTCTCCTGGGTGCCTGGGGCTGACTGCTGCAGAAATCTGGGAAGGTGGGAAGAAGCTGGGAGACACAGGAGAGTCCCTGAACGCTGGAGTTGAAGAGGAGTGAAAGGAAATGGGAGGGTTGCAGTAAGGTCTGTGAGTTTGTAAATGATTCTTGGGTGTGGGAAACTGATAAGCTGAAATCTGGAGATATAGCTAGGGAGGTATTTGAAGACAAGAAAGTCCCTGGGGGCTAGAGGTGAAAACACTTAGAGAGAGACTGGGGAGGAATTCAGTGAAATTGGTGAGTTTGGTGGTGTGTCCCGGGTGCCTGGAATGGACTCCAGCTGGAATCTAGGATAGTTTGAGAGTAGCTGAAAGAGACGAAGATTCCCTGTAGGCTGAGGGCAAAGACCACAGGGACTGGAGGTCGAAGTGAGGTCTGTGAGTCTGCGGTGATTCCTGGATGTAGGAGGCTGACTCCTGCTGAAATCTGGGCATGGTTGGAAATTAACTGGGACAAACAGGAGAGTGCCTGAGGTCTGGGTGTGAAGACATGAGAGAGACTGGGGAGGAACTCAGTGAAATTGGTGAGTTTGTACCTGATTCCTGGGTGCCTGGAACTGAGTCCCACTGAAATCTGGGCGTGGTTGGAGAATAACTGGGAGAGGCCAGGAGGAGTCCACAGGATGGGGGTGAACATAAGAGAGACTGAGTAACTCAGTGAAATTGGTGATTTGAACAGTGAATTCCCGGAGTGCCTGGAACTGACTCCTGCTGAAATCTGGGCACTGGCTGAGTAGCTGGGACAGACAGGAGAGTCATGAAGCCTGGGGGTGAAGACATGAGAGGGCTGAGAGTAACTCAGTGGGAATTGGTGAGTTTGGTGGTGATTCCTGGGTGCCTGAAGACTGATTCCAGCTGAAATTTAGAGTGGTTGGAGAGCAGCTGGGAGAGACAGAAGAGTCCCTGTGGCCTGAGGGGATGAAGGCGTGAAAGAGATTGTGGGTAACTCGAGTAGAAATGGGTGAGTTTGTAAGTGATCTGGCTGCCTGGAACCGACCCAGCTGAAACCTGGGTGTAGCTGAAACAGGAGTGAGAGAGACAGAAGAGTCTAGTGGCTGAGGTGAAGACATAGGAAGACTAGGGGAAGTAACTCAGTGAAACTGGTGAATTTGGTGGTGAGTCCTGGGTGCCTGGAACGGCTCCAACTGAAATCTAGAGTAGTTTGGAGAGTAGCTGACAGAGACCGAAGAGTGCCCAGCTGTGGAGGGAAGACATGAGAGACACTTGGGAGGATCTCTGCAGGCTCTGTGAGTTTGTAGGTGATTCTGGGAGTGTGGGAAGTAGACTCCTCCTGAAATCTGAGTGTAGTTGGAGAGGAGCTGGAACAGACAGGAGTCACTGAGGGGCTGGGGAGTGAGCCGCTGGATGATGGCAGTAAGATATGGTATATTACTGAGAGCAGGGTGACTGTGAAGAATCTCCAGAGAGAGACACGGGAGAGCACAATGGCATCAGTGATTGTCCTGCTTGGTTAGCCGGGGGAAATGTAAAGTTGTGAAATTCCGCTGGTGTTGGATGTATGCGACGTGGTGTCCTGAGGGATGATGAGAGTACTTCCGCATCCCTGGTGAGCTGCCTTGGGTCCTAGTTTCTAGAGGGGGAGAGGAGAAGCTGGGAGAGGCAGGCATGAATCTTGAGGGTCAGGGCTGGGGGACCACTCATAATCTCCTGAGACCTGTGAGTTTCTGGGGGATTCTGGCTGCATGAGTTGACTCCGCAGAATGCAGGGATGGTTGAAATGTAGGACACACAGGAGAGTCCCTGAGGGCTGAGGCGAGATGAAGGGCACAGGGGAGAGGCGGTGAGGCTTCTGAGTCTAGCATGTGATTCCTGGGTGTGGGGGGAGCTGACTCGGCGGGAAATCTGGGGTTGTTTGGAGAGTAGCTAGGAGACACAGGGAGACTCCCCTAGAGCTGAGGATGAGCTGCTGGGTGATGGCAGTAAAGACATAGTATATTATCGATGAACGTGTTGACTGTAAAGAATCCCAGAGGAGGACACAGGAGTCCAGTGGCTTCACTGATTGCCCATCACAAAGGATTAGGAAAGGAAGTAGGAGCTTGTGGTTTCTGTGGTGATGACAGAAGTGAGTGTGGTGAAGCCCTAGAGGATGAGTGAATGGTAGCTCCAGATCCTTGGTAGAGAGCTTTCTCCTGGAATCTGAGTTTCTAGGAGGAGAGGGCCAAGCCAGGCAGAGGCTAGCATGGATCTCGGGGAGTCCCGGCTGGGGGACTGTCATGGGAAGAGCCAGAAAAGGCCCCACTGTTCTTAGATGCAGACATGATTCTAGGAAACCTGCAGCTCCCGGGTTTACAGTTTTCTGACCCCCAGAATAAAGGAGAGTGTGTGTGTGTGTGTGTGTATGTTGGCAAGTATACTCCTTAAGAAAATGGCTCCAGCAAACCAATGAGACAGACAGACAGGGATTCACTTACTCAAGTGTTCTGTCCTGTCGTCTGAATCCGCTCCAAAGTCGCAAGACGCTGTAAGCTCAAGTCCACGCAGAAGAGACTACCCAAAGCGCTCGGGCCTGCTCTCTCTCACGAAGATCTGAGCACAGGCCCGTAGGGCAGGTTTAAGTAGCCTTGGGCGCAGCCTGTCCAGGCGGAAAGGAGGCGGGCTTCCTCCTCCTTTCAGTCTCCCAGCACACCAGGCTCCACCTCGTAAAACTGCTCTCCTGTTTTGATGTCGTGTCACGCATTTGGGACAATCTAAGAACTTACAAGTTTTATTGGCTGTCTCGTAGAAATTAAATGTGTAACCACTGAAAACCATCTAGTGCTGTGGTTCTGACATTGTGGTTTTAGGACCAGCAGCATCTTGTAACCTCATTTGGAGATCCACCAGATCTGTGTTGTAACAAGCCCTCCCCGACCATGAAGCATGTGGTTGAATATCATTGTGGTGAAAGACTTTTAAGAAAAGTGGGTATGCATTGTATAAAACATTCTTCTGCTCTGGAACATCACAGAGACTTGGAGCCCAGTTAGGTGGGTATTCATTGGATAAGGAGTGATTAGTTAGGAAATATCAATTCTGGACCAGACTAGTTAATCATCTAATTAGGTTTTCATTAAAGCTAATCTGTTTTAAAATTCCACTTTTCAATCTCTTATAAAGTTTAGATAGCAATGCCTCCTTCAATATCCAGGAAAGTTGAGCTAAAGGTTGGTTCAAATCACAATAGCCTCTCGGTTTAACCCATCGTGCCTATCATATTGAGCCTACATAAAGCCAAAGGACTGCGTCTCGAAACTTCTGGATAAACTTTCTCATGAAGTGAGTTGCACCTCCCGCGCGGACCCCATGAATCGTTTTTCTGAATTTTTGCATCATCTTCAATAAAGTATTGTCTCATTGTTTCTGCAATGCCGTAGGCTGTTCTAGCAAATTATTCGACTTCAAAACAGGGAGTGATGGAAACCTGATATGTAGCCAGTCGGTCAGAAGTGCGGGTAAAACAACATAGGGCTTGCCATTGTTATGGCATGAGATAAGGAATGGTGTGGACAGACTGTGAATCTAGAAATGCTTTCATGTCAGGTGAACAGTGTCATATTGGATTAGGAGACACCCAGCTGGGTATCACAGCAGAGATGGACTGTTTGTGACTGACCCAGGAAAATCCCCAGACACGTGATCACAGAAATCTTCTGTATTGAAGTTGTTAATGATGTATAGCGGAGAAAAAACAGTTTGCCTTTTCCACTCAGCCTAAAATGTAAAAGGGGGTCTCATGCTGCACCTCTATGTGGGATCGCGTGATTTACAATAAACATATTGCGTGCGTAAACAATCATAAAAAGTGTTAGTTTTCATTTGTACTAACAATCAAGGTGGTCACAGTTAGTGTCTTTGTCATTTTTCTATTTTCACTGCCTTGTCATGTCTTTCATCCCTTTTTTAATTTTTAATATTTAATTTAAAAACTTTTAGGCCGCCAGTAGCAGTAGAAGCTCCAAACCTGTAATCCCAGCACTTTGGGGCTGAGACAGGATCACGAGGTCAGGAGATCGGGGGTCCATCTGTTATGCACAGTTGAAACCCCGTCTCTACTAAAAATGCAAAAAACTAGCCGGGCGTAGTGGTGGGCGCCTGTAGTCCCAGCTACTCAGGAGGCTGAGGCAGGAAGTGGCACCAGCCTGGGGCGGAGGCTTTGCAGTGGCTGAGATCAGCCACTGCACTCCACCCAGGCGTGAGCCAACACTCCGTCTCAAAAAAACAAAAACTTTTGGGCTGGCGCTGGTGGCTCCCCACTCCTGTAATCCCAACACTTTGGAGGCCGAGTGGGAGTATCGATGTCTAGAATGGGAACCATCATGGCCGATATATGTTTGGAACTCCCGTCTCTTCTAAAAACACAAAAATTAGTGTGGTTTGGTGGACGCCTGTAGTCCCAGCTACTTAGCAGGCCGAGGCGGAAAAAATCGCTTGAACCAGGCAGAGTTAGAGAGACAGGTTGCTGCTGCACTCCAGCTTGCCGACAGAGTGGATTCCGTCTCAAAAAAATGTAGAGACAAGGTCTTTGTGTCACCCAGGCTGAAGTAAGTAAGGCAAGTGTGGCTCACTGCAGCCTCAATCCTGAGGCTCAAGCAATTCCTGCAATAAACCTTGGTAGCTGATTGAGCACACACCACAGGCCTAGCTGTTCCACTTACATTTGCACACCAGAGTGTTAGTTTTCCCCCCTTCATTATTTTGTATTGTTTATCTTAGAAAGTGAAAACTACCTAACCGTCATAATAATATTTGAAAATAATTTTCTAGTCATTTTGCTGTATGTCTTAATTGCAATGTGGAATCAGTTCTTTGCATCTTTACCTTATGGCACCTGGGTTGAGAACCATTAATTTGAACCAAAAATTGGTCTGTCCTTTTTCCAGTTTGAGACTTTATTTTGC